TTGCTGCCAGTTGCTTCACACCCTGTAATTCCTGTTTGGGAGCTCAGCATAATTCTATACAAGCAAGGGAGAGCAGGGTCCTTGCTGAGCCCTCTCTTGGCTATAATGATACAAAATTGCCTTTCTGAAAAATGAACCTCTCTGAAGGCTCCAGGTCAAAGCCTCCTTCTGTTCACAGGCTGGATAACAACATAGTGGTCATACTATTATCCCTGTAAAGTTTGTCATTATCCCTCCTTTGCCAGGCAGGTCCTCAGACTTGATCATAGCTCAGAGTGAACCTCTCTTTTTCCTTTGAGTGCAAGCCCAGGATGCTAGACCACAAGATTAATCTTTCTGGGGAGTAGTTCAACTTAGTTCTCTTATTCCTTTTGAGTTTATTCTTGTGTGTGGTGTAAGTTAGTGATTGAGTTTCATTTTTTTCATGTATCTGTCCAATTTTTACAATATCATTTTTACATCTGCTAAGGGGTTACTCTCCAAGACATATGAAGAACTTATACAACTCAACACCAGGAAGACAAACAATCCAATTTAAAAATGGGCAAAAGACCTGAATAGATAGTTCTCTGAAGAGGACATACAAATGGCCAAAAGACATATGAAAGAATGCTCAAGTTACTAAAAATCAGAGAAACATGAATTAAAATTAAAACCACAATGAGCTATCTCTTCACACCTTCCAGAATGGCAGCCATCAATAAATTAACAAACAACAAGGTGCTGATGAGGATGTGGAGAAAAGGGAACCCATTTGCACTGTTGGTGGGAATGCAGACTGGTGCAGCCACTGTGGAAAACAGTATGGAGTTTCCTCAGGAAAGTTAAAAGTGAAACTGTTTTTTGACTCAGTGGTCCTACTTCAGGAAATATAGCCTAAGAAGCTCAGAACACCAATTTGAAAGAATATATGCACCTCTATGTTCATAGCAGCATTATTTACAAATAGCCCAAGTGCCCATCAATAGATGAGCAGACAAAAAAGCTTGGTACATTTACACAATGGAATACTACATGGCCATAGAAAAGAAAGAACTCTTACCCTTTGCGACAGCATAGATGGACCTGGACATTATTATGCTAAGTGAAATAAGCCAGTCAGAGAAAGACAATATCATATGATCTCAATTATATGGGGAATCTAATGAACAAAATAAACTGATGAACAAAATAGAAACAGATGCATGGACACGTGGAACAGACTGACAGCTATCAGATGGGAGGGTGGAGGGTAGGCCTAAATGAAAGATGAAGAGATTAGCCAAAGAACACATATGAATCACCCATAGACACAGACGACAGTGTGGAGATGGCCAGGAGGTAGGGGGAGTGGAGGCTGGAAAGAGGGGGCGAAGGGGTGGGGAATGGAGATATCCGAAATAATGTCAATAATAAAAATAAAGAAAAAATAACTGTGAACCTATACTTTTATACCCAATAAGAGAAAGAACTCATAGACAGCAGTTCCATGATTGCAAGGGAAAGGAATGGGTGAAGGTAGCAAAGAGTATCAGGGGATAAATGGTAATGAAAAAATACAATAAAATTTTTAAAAATGAAAAAATTCCTTCAGTAATGGAGGTGAATTCTGTTACATGCTTAGTTTAATTCATCAGACATACTGGAGATGAATTTGCATGCTGGCCTTGATGCTTTTGAGATACTATGAATTGTTTGTTTTTTTGTGTGTGTTCTGAGAAGTCATCTTCTAAATGTGACTGTTTAGCTCACATGGCAGGAGATTTACTCATCAGTGTACATACTTTTGTTGAAGCATTTATACTATCACTTTGCATTTATTGGTTTATGTGTTTCTCTTACGTGGCTGTCACTTCCATGGAAGATTTTGAACATAGCATGTAACAATTACATTTAAGGTGGTATCCAAAAGTGCATTATTTTAAAGCTTAAAGTTAATGATAGTAAGATTAATTTCATAGTCGTTTGTCTGGGAAATATTGGAGACAGGTTTCCAAAAAATTTAGAATCATCCCACATGTTTTCAGGAACTATAAAGGACACATGGACAAACCAAGTGGGAGGGTGGAAGCAAGGGAGGGGGCTGGGTTTGAAGGGTGTGGGGGAGGGGTGGGGAGAAAATACAGACAACTGTAATTGAACAACAATAAAATAATTTGAATTAAAAAATAAAATAAAAACATCTAATGCAGGAAAAAAAAAGCAAAGAGCCTATGCACTCTATGTTCATAGCAGCACAATTTACAATAGCCAAGTATTGGAAGCAACCTGAGTACTCATCAGTAAATGAGTGAATCAAAAAATTATGGTACATTTACACAATGGAATACTATGTAGCAGAAAGGAAAAAGGAGCTCCGACCCTTTACAAAGCATGGGTGGATCTGGACAGAATTATGCTAAGTGAAATAAGCCAGGTGGTGAAAAACAAAGACCATATGATTTCACCTGTAAGTGGAACCTAATCAACAAAACAAAGTAAACAAAATATAAACAGAGACATTGAAATAAAGAACAAACTGACAGTAACTAGAGGGGAGGGAGGAGGGGATAATGGGGGGAAAAGGGCAAGGATCAAAAAGAAAGAAAAAAGAATCATCCCACATGTTATATTTTAGGCGATATCCAAAATTATATTACTTTAGAAGGAAAGATAACATAGGACAATTTATGTATTAAACTAATTTGTGTATTAAAAGAATCCAGTCTCAGAGAGATTAAGTAACCTGCACAAGATCCCACAAAGGCTAGAGCCAGGGCCAGACCCCAGTCTTCTAATGTTAGGGACACTCTTCTCTATCATGGTATCTCAGAATTAGGACTCTTTCTACTTATACTAGATTCAGCATCTCTATGTTTCTCTAAAATAGTTTTGAGTTTAGCAATTACCAACGATTTACAATTAACTTCCAATCTTCACTGAAGTATGAAAGAAACGTGGACTTGGGAATCAAGGGAACTGGACACTCGGCTCAGCGTTGTTACCAGCTCACTGGGTATCTGGGTGAGCACCACCTACCTTCGCTGGACCCGCTTATTTCACAAAGTAACATGTTTCACAGTGTCAGTCACAGAATGAGGCGGATAGCCCAGGAGAGGTCAGAATTTAATTCTCACTTCTAAATACTGTCATTCTACTTCAAATATTTTCAGTTACTTTCTGTTTGTAATCTCATTTTCCTTCTTAGGAGAAAAAAATTAGACATAAAAGCATGTCACAGAAAAAGTTGAATAAGTTATGCTTAAGAATCACTGTTGATGAATATTTTTGGTGAATGTGAAAGAGTGAAAACAATATAGCTGGTTAAATAAACAGACAACACGTCTGTTTCTTCCATGTTGACAGACTGCTGTGGTCTAAAAGGATGGAGAATCACCATCATCATAGAAACAATGATTCGATGATATGCATGTAACTTGTATGTTACATGTCTATCTTATATTATTTTATATTATTCAACCAACTTCTGAATTCGACCTTTTTAAGATAAAGGGAAGCTTTATAAATATTATATAATTATTGGTCCTGAGTAAACACTAGATCCAGAGGTAAAGTAATAAAAATTCAACTCAAATATATTCTCTCTGCACTCATCCCTACTCCCTTACCCTCAGGCCAATCTGGCCAGGAGCCGGGTGTCTCCCGGCACGATGCAGATTGAGCAGCTGTTTGGTACACTGCATCTGACTCCCTGTCATTTAGCAGATTGAGATCTCTGCTGAGAGCATCATTTGGAATTTTTCCCCAAAAGTGATATTTTTGAACATGCAATTTGAAATATAGTGATGCACTGATACATGTTCATAGAATAATAGTGTCACAAGACAGTGATAGATTTATGTCAAAAATCTAAATTTCTCCCAGAAGTGTTTAAGGAGATAACCTTAGATTGGCTGAGCTAGGCACAATGGAATATGAGTATGGGCTTTCTGAAAATGTGAATATAAAAACGATGCTAGCTTCAGGTATATAGATCATTGAGAAGAGAATATCCGATATGAATATAAACCGAGATGTACATAAGCAGGCAGGACAAAAGGAGCTAGGTCACATACACTGAGGGAGAGGGATTCAGGAAATATAATCGGACAGTCCAAGAGAGTCACTTAGCTAAGGTCTGGGTATTTGAAAGAAAACTAATAATAATAATAATAACTACAGCATAGTTATTATTATTATTTCAGCAACAACACAAATTATTAATGCTTACAGAGCTCTTAGTGCTTATGTCAGCCCTGCTCTAATGTTTTAAATATAATAATCCATTTATTATTCTGACAAACTACGTGAAGTAAGAACTAATATTATTGTTTCTCATTTATAGGAGGCAAAACTGCGGCACAGAGTGGCTCAAAATAAAGCAGCTGGTAACAGGGAAAACCATGGTTTCAATCTTGTCCTAGAGCCTGTGAATGAATCTAAAAATCTTAACCCCAAGATAAAAGATGCTACAGAGAAGCAGAACACTTTTGAATTAAGCCTACATTCAATATGTAATGAGCGCACCCTGACCACCCCCGGTGGGCTAGTGGTTAGGATTCAGTGCACGACCTGACCAAAGAAAAGATGCCCCATATGTGGTGACAGCAAAATATCAAATTCCCTTTTATTTAGGTCCTTGGTGAGAATTTTATGTCTTTCCAAATTCACCTTTTTGTCCCCACTTTCAGACCAGAGTACACACGGAACTAAGACTTCCTTTAGGGTCTCAATCCTTCTCCAATCATTAGCCATCCTCGTCAGAAAAGTCTCTTTATATGTGAAATTAATCACTGACTTCCCAACTTAAGCCCATTTCCTCTTCTAGGATCTTTATTGGAGTTGGGAGACATACTAGATGAAGGCAGTGACAATTCTAATCACCTTGGGTTTTTCCTTTTTATTTAATAACTCACTTAAATATACTTCTGTGAAATCCTATTTTAAAATCTCCCAGACATCAATTACCGATATATTCAAGTCTTTCTGGCAAGCCTGTTTGGCCATCTTAAATGTACTTACGGTGAGTTTTTTCATCTTACCTCTCCATTCTCTAAAGGGTGTATCTTGGAATAAAATGAGGTGCAGATGACCTCGTCGTCTTTGGCATATGACGGTGGTCCAGTGCGAGGGTAAATATTGTAGAGGGTTAGGCACTCGGTGTCTGTCACAGCATGATACTGCCAGGGCTTGTATTCAACATTATCCAGTGAGCGTTCCAGGATCCAGTTTCCAGGCCGAGGAGAGTTAGCTGCTTTCACAATCACATACGCAATCTGGAACACCTGGGTAAGAGGGACAACAACAATGTGTAACTTTGAATCCCAAAGCATTCTCATGATTTTATATCAAATATAAAGCTTAATGCTCCAATGGATATTATTTCAGATTTTATTCCATAACCCTTTATGTTCTCTGAGATGATTTTACTGTTATGTGTTCATATTTAATAACTTTTGCAAAGATGGGATGTTTCATTTTGACAGCTATGTCTTGGAAAGACATAGGTAAAGATTGGATTTTAGCTCTCTAACAACTCATTGACACCATTTCACCCAATTTTTAAAATTCCATTACATTTATGATCACCTAAAGCATTCATTACATACCAATTTACTCATCCTACTGTGCTAGAGAGTACAAAGTATGAGTAAGAAATTCCATGTGTGAGCGATAGTGCTTGAGAGTTTAGAAGATATGCTTACTTATATTACCTAATCCTCCGCAAAGTGCCACTTAGGTGGAGTTAGTGTGATGCAGCAAAATCAACACAGAACTTTGGAGGCACAGTCCTGTATTCAAATTGTGGTTTTAGCATTTATGGGACCTCGGACAGATTACTTTGTTTTTCCAACTCTTAGCTTCCTTTCCTGCAAATTAGGGTCAATAATAAGTATACAACTGAGAAGGAATTTGGACTAAATGAGATAATGTATGCAAGGTGCCTGGCAAAGGACTTGGTGGTAAAAAATATATGTCACTCCCTCTAAATCCCCAAATAGAAGATAACGGAGAAGAAATTCTAGTAGAACTGACAACTGATGCAAACTGGAATATATTAAATGAAGGATATCTGTACCTTCTGTACAATAGGTAAGTGTGTAAAAATAAAGAGGAGGGACAGAGAGAGGCATCAGAGTGACAACAGTGGGAAATGTGGCACTCCATTTTCAAACCAACATAAAATTTGAAGATGAAAAAAAATACCTGGATGTGTTGTGATAGTGCATATGTGTGGCTTCACTAACACAGTCTGAAAGTCAAAAAATAGTGTACAAATATTAATATTTATCTTCAATGCTTTGGGTGGAACGATACATACAAACTAATTTAACTTACAGTCCCACCATCCATGGGATGGTAATGTATTGCAATAATGAGACATAAAAATATACTAGTGACAAAGCAACATGACACATTTATGCTCCAAGATGTGGGGGAGCTTAACAATGCTGAGCTCTGGCTGAGCGCAGTAACTGGAAGGGTACATCGGGAGGGCAGACCCAGTAAACGATGTCATTAAGGGGTCTGCTGGGCCACAAAGGAAATCCTGAAAGAGATGTTCTAGAAACAAACTTTATCTGTTTCATAGTTTTGGCATGAGACTTTAATGAAGACATAAATGGTATTTGTGGTAAACTCTAAGAGACTGAATTTAGAAATATGAAATGCTGGTACAGAAGGGGCAATACATGTGGCTTTGATGCAGGTCCTTTGAAATGGTCTGAGGTCTTTTGAGATCTTTACTAGAAGGCCGCACACTTATGCGCCATTAGGGAAAAACCATGAGCCATCAAATGATTGAAAGTAGGGCTGAAAGTTGCTTTTTAGGAACAGCTGTGGAAAAATTGTGGTTAACATACTGAAATACTTCTGTGCTTGTTGGTGAACTGCTGTGGCCCAAGACTCCCCAAATGCCTTCCCTCCCCTGAGACCATCTGGTTAACCGCAGCAGAGCAAAGAAAAGCCAAGACATCTATTCCAATTGGTCTGGACCTTGTTCTGTTTTGCTGAATATTACTCTGTGTGGGAAATACCATGCATCTGTATACATGGTATACAGATAAGTAAGTTGCAGACAGGCACACATACCTATGTTTGTGCATATAAATATTTAAATACACTTAGACCTCTTGGGCAAAGATATACATGGCATATTAAGTGTGTTATCTATGGGGTTTTAGAATAAGCAATCAAAGGGAGAAGGAGAAGAGCTTTTACTTTTCATCCCATATCATGCTGTATTCATTTATTAACATAAACATCATACTTCTTAAAACATTTTTTTAAAGATTTTATTTATTTATTTTTAGAGAGGGAAGGGAGGGAGATAGAGAGAGAAACATCAATGTGCGGTTGCTGCGGGTTATGGCCTGCAACCCAGGCATGCACCCTGGCTGGGAATCGAACCTGAGACACTGGTTCATAGCCCGTGCTCAATCCACTGAGCTACGCCAGCTAGGGCTAAAAATTTCTTTTAAAATACAGGAAAAAAATGAAAGCAAATGAGTATCAAGAAAAGGATAAAAAGAGGGGTAACATGGAAAATACTCCGTCGACCACTATCCAATATATTTGCTATTTCTTCATTTTTAAGGTGTTATTCATGAGGAATTATATTTGGCACTCCATATTCTACGACTCACTCACCTGACATTTTTATAAAGAAATGCACTGAAGAATATACCCACTGATTAATCTGACAGAACACAGAGAGGTAGTTGCCTCTATTATGCATATAAAACACCCTGGTCCTAATTTCTAGTAATCCTAAAGTATTCATGACATGGTTATTAAAATGATAAAGAGCACAAATAACTAAATTCTGAGCTCTTGAAGGTCAGAGATTCTATAACCCTTATTATAACTCATTTGAAATAGTGGGCATTTGATATTTATTAGACTAGTTGAATAACCAAAATCATTGTAATATGCTTCCTTGTAACTTCTATTTGCATAACATTGTTTATTTTCTTCTGTTTGTCTGATTTTGACTCCCTTTCAACACTAGCCTATTTTGTCACTTGTAGCAACTAAGACATACATAGTGTTCATCTTACTATGTTTCTGTGAGCTCAGAAAATTACTTAAACTCTTTTGTCGTCTGTTTTCCAATGTTTCATTTACAAAGTCAAAACCAAGGAAGAGATACAGAGATAATGAATACAAAACACAGCATGTTCTCTGGAAAAAAGAACCTATAAATATTTCAAATTAGCATCTTTCCTTCTAGAAAAAAAATTTGCAGACATTATAAAAATAGAAAACAAAAAGAGAAATAGCAAAGCATAATTAGAGAGCACAGGTATCCAATAAGAAAAATAAAGGTACACTAAAGATATAGCTAAAGAATTTTGTTCAGAAAGCAGCTTAACAAGCAAATATGAGAAGAGGCCAAATTGTCTTGGAGCTTCAATGTGGATATATGACTTAGGAGTTTCTGTGTTGGCTCTGGAATAATAGATGAAGTCCATGAAATAAAGTTATAGCAAAAAACCCCACAGACTCTTCTTATAATTCAATATAATGGTCAGCATTAACTGACATGGAAAAGCAGTCATTACCTTAGAGAATATTAGAAGAGCCCCATTTCAAAACAATATCTCTCTTTCATTTGTTTTCTATGGATTCTTTCACATTCTATGCAAAGTTAATTAAATTAGGTGGCACATAGTATTTTGAATAAACTTTTACAAATGTGGTAGACAGCATTATTGAAAATCACAATGAATAGAAGTATTCTTTGAAGGCATCAGAGAATAGCTGTGAACAGTTTTACAGTGGTTTTCTCAGTACTCCAATTTTAATGAGCCTAATGGAATAATTCTCTTCATGTACCTACACTACTTTCATTAACTATGCCTTCTTTTTTTCAGCATAAAGTCTCTTCAAAATCAGGAGTTATAAAACCTAATTTCCAGGTGATTAAAAACCCTAATTTGTATGGTGGACAATAGGAAAGCAAACACCTCATTATGTGGAGTACAAAAAATACTATGATGGCTAGATTTGATGAACCTTAGGTGTCAATACATAATCTCCAAATTTTCCTCTGTTGAAAGGCACTTGTTTACAATCCTGGTAAATGAATAAAAAAATCCAAAATAACTTTTGAAATGCTACCAAATGTTGGACATTTTATACATAACAAAGTGAATTTTCTATTTCATTTTTCATTTGTATGTCACCTAACAAAATGTCATGTAATTATTTCACTTATGCAGAACTGAATTAGGTGTTCCTGCTATCCTAAGCAATGTCTTAAGACTTAATCTCTTTTAGGGTGGAATTGCAGAATAGAGTCTTTCTAAGAAATCCTTCAGTCCCAAAGTAGCAAGAAACATATAATGACCATCATATACAGTGATGCTTTCCAGTCTTTTCTATATCATGGCAGAGATACAATATTGGTACAGCACTGGGATAAAAACAGGAGACATCACAGACTAAAGTGAGTATCCTAGAGGTTTTGATGAGTCGGGATGCTATCCAGGGGATGAATATCTTAGCTAACTTATAAACAATTGTTCTGACATCTGGGACCAATTTCTAGCCCATGCATTTCTGGGTTTGGATTTTTTAAAAAAATATTCTCTGCTGTGACTCTAAGGAACCCACTTTATCCTCATTTTTGTGTCCTTAGAAGAATCACAGATCTAGAAAATGCTACCAAACAATATGTGTTTTAGAGATTTCACTGAGGCTTGTGAGTCACGGGCACATAATTAAGAGAGTCAGGCCAAAGTGTGGCTCCTTAATGATGTAACAAAACCATGAGACCTCTTTCCTATAGGCTGATCCCCAAGAAAGCCAAGAAAATATTAATGAAGGTCATTCTCTATAGAAGATGACACTTTGCCTTTCTCATAAGGCTTGAGTTATGTCTTCTATTTCTTCTTTCCTAATCTCTCAAGAGAACAATATTTTGCTATTGAATCTCCTTGCTGTCGAGCTTTGTCTTGTTCCCCCATGAGGCTAGCGGCTGTGAATTTTCTACAGCAAGTCCACATAACAAAACTTCTTAATTTTGAAAGAGGCTTTGCAATATTTTCACACCCACTCTTGACTGTAATTTGAATGCTAACATTTCCATGTGCTGTGATGCCATCTCTAACACACTTTGAAAACTCACCTCTATTATTAGTTTAAATAATTTGCTTGTCAATTCTCACATTTATCCATATAGTCATATTGTTTTTCAGAAAGTAATGAGTTATACAATATCAGAACCAGAAAGGATCCTAGAAATCATGAGTTTTCAAGCTTAGTACCAACTGGAATAATC